GCCTCGAGGTCGTGATATGCTGCTGCTGCTGGCTGGCGACGAGCAGGTTCTCGGTGACTTCGAGTTGGCTGCGGTATTCCCGTTGTCGCTTTTGCGCTTTGCGACGGCTTTCCTGAGCAATAAATAATACGCCCAGAATTTGGAGAAGGTGTGACGTCTGCAGGATGGGTGACGTCGTGGAGGGAACTGGCCGGAGCTAAACAAAGCACACACAACCTCACTTGGACGAATGCAATGGACGGAACCAAGGTTGGGTAGTCTCGACTTTCTTTATGGGGGAGGTCAAGGAAGGTGAAGCGGAAGAGAGGAGATGGGTGTGAGAAGCAGTAGAGGAAGAGTTCAGAGGGACAAGAACCCAAAGAAGGAAGGCAAGCTGGGGAAGAGGACCAGCTTATGGGAAAAGCTATGATTCCATTGTGAGAAGGGAAACAAACGAACGAAACGAACGGGGGGATCGGTTTCGTGACTGGCGCTGGTGCTACTCTGCTTTGCTGCTGCTCAGGTCGGATCCTAGGTCCAGGACCTAGGTCCTGGTGCTAAAACGGAGCTTGACCGGGAGGCGCCCGATTTATTTTTTTGTGTCTTGAGACCCCGGAAAAAGCAGCATTCAGCAAATGACGGGTAGGAGTTTAGTGAAGCAGAGTGGGCATTTCGGATCCCCTGGTCGGGTGTTTGACGAATCGACGGTCGAAAATTTCAGCTTACTGGGGACCGAAGTCGGAGATAGTCGGTACGAGGACCCCGAAGGAATGGGTGACAGCGTGGGATTGCGGGCGGGACAGGTCTGTGTCTCTCTGTCTTGTGCTGGTCTGCTGGTCTCGAGTCGAGGTATTACTATTACCTTTTGCTACCAAGGTATAATTTAAGAGACTTTGCGAGACTTTGGGCCATGTTAGCCCGAAGTTCCGGTGTGATAATGGCCCCGGTGGAGGGAAACAGCACAAGCAGCAGCAGCCACTGGGGCGCCTTTCTGTCAGTCACGGCATCGGAGCGCATTCCTGAAGGGCCTGAGTCGGAGCGATGGCCGATGGGCTGTGTAGCGCAACGCAGCAGCAAAAGTACTACGGCAGTACACCCGTCCAGGTAGTGTAGGTGTACACTATAAAAACTGGGTTTCCGGGGTTGTCGACAAAAGAGCGTGGAGACAATGGGAGTCAGTCGGGACCTGGAGACTGGAGTTTCGTGCCCATCAGTGGGGGTCATACTCGTGATATCGCATGATTCCCTTCGGACAAGTGCTTGAAAGGACAAAACGGGCAATTCTGCTTAACTGAGGGTGGGCCCTGCCATTCGGCGTGCATGCCGTTGCCCGTCCGGTTCTCTTCCGGGCTTGAGACAGCTCAGGACGAATACCTTACTATGTAGACAACCCAACACCTCAGTCTTCGGTGCCATTCCTTGGGTACATAGCTACCTTACCTTGCCTGACAGACCCAACCAGGGGGCCGCGTGGCGCGTGGCGTGCGGTAGGTACCAAAAATGCAGCAAAATGTTTCCAATCCGCAGGACTTGGCAGGGTTCATTTGTTAAAAAAAGGTTGGAAGCATTAAATGCCATTATTAAGACGCACATTGACGGAGTTGACAGGTCGGAAAAAAGAGACAATTGGAAACACACCGTAACTTTTTGAACATGACCCAATCCTTCGCTGGAGAAGTACATCTGGTCACTGGTTGATGGATGCACCAACAATTAACATCAGCCGAATGAATCCAATTGGATCCAATGAGCTCTCCAACGGCGCACGGCAAAGTTCTTGCCCGCACGGCACCTGTGCGATAGCAAAGCTACCTACCTTAGGTGAGGTAGGCACGTACCCTACTGCGTACCTGCCCTCTCTCCCAATGGCTGCTGCCTCACAAGTCCCCCTCACAACCCATCCCAACGGGGAAGGTGGAAGGAAGCTCAGAGGCCGCAAAGGCAGCAGCAACCTGAGGAACCCAAGCCGGCTCTCAGTGCTGCGCGTCCCACGAAGCAGAGTGCGTCAGCAACATTCGTATGTCTGACAGAGCAGAACATCGCGCCAATTCAACCAAGACGACTTCTACTTCAACTTTTGCTTCTTGCGAAGATTCTTCTTGGTGTTCCTGGTCCTATCTGCGTCCGTCATTCCCATTGCACAGCAGCAGCAAGTGCTTCTTCCCTTGCGTTGCATCGCCGTCACACGCTCATTCACTTCTCATATTCTCCCCACCCGGCATCACCCTCAACCCCAGCTCAAAATGCGCGTGGCCAAGCAATTCACCCCCGAGGTGCTGCTGAGTGCTCCCCGCCGTGGCCCTGCCGTCCCCAGTCCCGATGGCTCCTTGATTCTCTACACCCAGTCGGCCTACAGCTTCGACGACAACAAGACCCTCAAGGAGGTCCGCCTCATGGCCGTCGAGAGTGGGGCTTCGGAGCAGCTCGCCGACGACGACAAGGTCCATGATGCCCAATGGATCCCAGGGACCAGCACCAACATCATCTACTTGAAGTCGGGCGATAAGGGGACCACTCAGATATGGATTGCTGACGGCGCCGACCCTGCCAAGGAGCACTACCTTGCTGCCGAGTATGATGCGCCCATCAGCGCTCTCAAAGTGAAGGCCCTCGCGGATGGGAGCGTTGCCTTTGTCGTCGCCGGGTTGGTCGGCCCCGATGGAGATCTGTTTAATGACAAGGCAGACAAGAAGAAGTCGACCGGTCGCATCTTTGACGATTACCATGTCAGAGCTGTAGGTTGACTCGGCCTTGCCAAGACGTGTCTTGCTTTGACTAACACGTGTGTCAGTGGAACGAGCTGCACAAGGCGCAAAAGTACGCCCTCTGGTACTCGACTCTCATCAATGCACACGGTAAGTGGGGAGTCGCTGGAGAGTTGCAGAACGCCATCAGAGGCACCACTCTCGAAGCGCCCTACGGCATGTATGATGTCGCCGACCCGGGAGACAGCTTCGACGTCAGCGAGAAGGGCATCACCTTCATCGCTGAGGACAACGCGCCTTCGTCACCAGAGTACTCTGGCATCTCCCATGTCTACTATGTTCCCCTCACCTCATTTACCACAGCGCCCACCGTCCGTCCGAGAGCCATAGTCATGGGCATCTCCGAGTCCAAGGCCTTCTACGCCAACGTGAGATTCTCGCCCGACGGTTCCAAGATTGCCTTCTTGCAGTCGTCCTATGATAGCCCGTCAGATGCGAGGCTGTACATGGGCCATACGAGCTCCTTCGGTGCATACGACGTGCACAGAATGATCTTTGGAAAGAGGCCTCGCCTGCCACCAAGAGCTTTTGAGTTCGCGGGCAATTCTGATTCTCTGCTCATCACGACTGAGGACTGCGGGCGAGTAAAACTGTCACATCTCGAGCTCCGCCACGACGCCGAAGCTACGTCACTCGTGGAAAGTGGTATCGTGACCGCCTTCTATCCCCTACAAGAGGACAACTACGATAGACTTCTTGTTACCAGCAACAGCATGGTTGACAGTAGTCTGTGGCAAATTGTTGATGTCTCGATGACCACCCAAGCAAGAGTCATCTCGTCTGCAACCAAGCATGGCGCCAAGTACGGTTTGTCGCATGGCATGGTTTCTGAAGTCTGGTACGAGGGTGTCAATGATGCCGTCGTGCATTCCTTTATCATTAAGCCGTCCAACTTTGACGAGACGAAGAAATACCCTTGGATTCTTTTGCCCCATGGGGGCCCGGTTTCTTCTTGGCTAGACTCTTGGTCAACAAGGGTACGTGACTAACAGCCCTACCGCGGTTACCCAACTAACGACACCACAGTGGAACATGGCTCTCTGGGCACAGCAGGGTTATGTCCTCATCGCACCCAACATAGCTGGGAGCACAGGTTACGGCGTTGATTTTACGGCACGAATCTATCGCCAATGGGGTGGGGCACCCTACCAAGATCTCGTCAACTTGATGGAGTACCTCAAGCCGCTGCCGTACCTCGACCACAGCCGCGCTATCATCGCGGGAGCATCATACGGCGGTTACATGGTGTCCTGGATGTTCGGACAAGAAATGATCAAGAAGTTTGCGTGCGCAATTTGGCATGACGGAATCTTCAACCTGCCGGTGTTCGTGCTGCAGAGTGACGTCACCGGCGGCGGGCCGGAATTCGGGGGTGCGCCATTCCTATGGAGCAACGGCGAGGAGATGGAGAAGTGGAACCCGGCGCGTCCGGAGCTGTTGCGGAATTGGAAGCATGCGCCGCCGACCTTGATCATCCACAGTGAGAAGGATTACCGATGTCCCATCACCGAGGGCCTTGCGGCGTTCAATACGCTGCAGGCCCAGGGTGTAAAGAGTCGTTTTCTGACATTCAGCGACGAGTGTCATTGGGTTCTCAACCCCGAGAACTCGATGGTCTGGCACCAGACTGTCTTTGAGTGGATGGAGAAGCATATCGGTGGCAAGGAGGCGAGAAATATCTAGAGCGGCGTGACAACAGGAAACAACACAGAAGTCTCTGAAGAGAATAGAATTCGGAATTTGGTCGCTTTCTTGCAATTTAAAATGCATCTGGAACAAGGACAATAGTAGACTGGCCGTCGTCGACTTACACGACCCGGCACAATAAGCCTCCGGCACCAAATCGATCATCAGTGGGTCGGGAGTTTAAATTGCCGTGCAATTGGATGAGTGGATGTCTTCAGCGCTAAGGAGCTTCAAACTTCCGTCCGTCAACTGCCATACTTGGCAGATTTCTGGATTCTGCCGTCGCTGATTCGACATCGTGGTGACATTGCGGACAGTCTTACCCCGAGCCGTACGAGTCCCGACCCAACCGGCCGTCGCGACTCCTCAAAATGTGGGGTGCGCCCGAGTCTCGGTCTTGGCCCGGTGACCTTGGACGTCGAACGGAGACATCGTGACTTGTTTTTGGTCTTTTGTTTATATATTTAACGCGAAGCACTTCTGAGAAGTCACATACATACGTCCTGGTCCGTCCAGGCATAAGGAGTTGAGCCATCATCACCTCGAACGCATATCACTCAGACCTTCAAGATGGCGGTCCTCCGACATGATCTCAACACTGGCTGGTCCTTGAAGCAAAAAGATGATTCTTCAGAAACCTCATGGCTTCCGGTGGCCAAGGTGCCCAGCGAGGTTCACGTCGACCTCCTCGCCAACAAGCAGTAAGACAAACCTCATCGTCCCTCTCAGAATCCCCCATCCTAACATAATCTTGTAGAATCCCAGACCCCTTCTTGGACATGAACGAGCTCGCAGTCCAATGGGTCGCCGAAAAGGACTGGGTTTACCGTACCACGTTCCCAACCCCATCCTCGTCAGCCTCCAACCTCGTCACGGATCTCGTCTTCGAGGGCCTCGACACCTTCGCCACAGTCACCCTCAACGGCACGGAGATCCTCACGTCCGACAACATGTTTCTCAGCCACCGCGTGAACGTCTCGCAGCACCTCAACCCCAGCGGCACCAACAACACCCTCGAAATTGTTTTCGCCTCCGCTCTTCTCAAAGGCAGGCAGCTCGTCGAGCAGCACTCGCACGAGCACCGCTTCATCGCCCGCCAGACGGAACAGGGCCGCATCCCCGTCCGCAAGGCGCAGTACCACTGGGGCTGGGACTGGGGGCCCATCCTCGTCACCGCGGGCGTGTGGAAGCCCGTGTACTTGGAGCAGTACGCCGCCCGCGTCGACGATGTCTGGGTCAAGAGCGAAGTCAGCCCGGACCTCGGCTCCGTCTCGGGGCGAATCATCGCCAGCACGCAAGGCTCCTCTGTTGGCGCCGCGAAGCTCTCCGTGACATTCGCCCTCGACGACAAAGTCGTGCTCCAGAAAGACCTCGTGCCTGACAATACTGGCGCCGTGGAGACAGATTTCCGTCTCGAGAGCCCCCAGCTCTGGTACCCCTTCACCCACGGCCCGCAGCCCCTCTATACAATCACCTCGAACCTCATCCACGCCGACGGCACCGTCCTCGCAACCCACACCCAGAAAACGGGCTTCCGCCGCGTCGAGCTGGTCCAGCAGCCCGACTCCCGCGGCAAGTCCTTCTACTTCCGCATAAACAACACGGACGTCTTCGCCGGCGGCTCCTGCTGGATCCCCGGCGACAGCTTCCTCTCGACCATCTCGGCTGAGCGCTACCGTGCCTGGGCGAGCTTGCTCGTCGCCTCGAACCAGGTCATGCTACGCATGTGGGGCGGCGGCGTCTACGAGGCGTCCGCCTTCCTCGAGGCCTGCGACGAGCTGGGCGTGCTGGTCTGGCACGACTTCTGCTTCGCGTGCGGGAGCTACCCGACGTACCCGTCTTTCCTGGCGTCGGTCAAGGCGGAGGCGCGGGAGAATCTGAGGAGGATGCGGGGGCACCCGTCGATTGTCATCTGGGCAGGGAACAACGAGGACTACCAGGTGCAGGAGCGGTACCAGCTGGAGTACAAGTTCGAGGAGGACAAGGATCCGCAGTCGTGGCTGAAGTCGACTTTCCCGGCGCGGTATATCTACGAGGAGCTACTCCCGCGGGTGGTGCGGGAGGAGAGCCCCTGGACGGTGTATCATCCGAGTAGTCCGTGGGGTGACGGGAAGCCGACCGCGGACGCGAGTGTTGGTGATATCCACCAGTGGAATAGTAAGTCTCAATCAACCCGGTTATGCAGTGCTATCTTTCTGACTTGAGCCAGTTTGGCACGGTACCATGAACAAGTACCAAGACGCCGCCCAGATGACAGGGCGCTTCATCAGCGAGTTCGGCCAGGAAGGCTACCCGCACCTCTCCACAACCACGGCGATGATCACCTCTGCCAGCCAGCGGCGGCCGGGTAGCATGGCGATGGACTTCCGCAACAAGGCGTATGACCACGAGCGGCGGATGATGACATACATCGCCGAGAACTTCTCCATCAAATACGACCTCGCGTGGTTCACGTACCTCACGCAGCTGATGCAGGCCGAGACCATGTCGTTCGCGTACAAGGCGTGGCGGCGCGACTGGGGCCGGCCCGGGCACCGCGGCTGCGGCGGCGTGCTGGTGTGGCAGCTCAACGACTGCTGGCCGACCGTCTCCTGGGCCGTGGTGGACTACTGGCTGGTGCCGAAGCCGGCGTTCTACGCGATCGGGCGGGCGCTGCGGGCGCTGGATGTGTGTGTGGCGAGGAGGGTGGACGAGTGGACCAAGTGCCATGCGGACCCGACGCTGGGGGCGCGGGGGACGGAGTTTGAGGTGTGGGTTGCGAGTGGGAAGACGGCGGATGTCGAGGGAACTGTTGAGGTTAGGTTTGTGTCGATTGAGACCGGCGAGGAGGTTAGAGAGCGGATTGAGAGGGCGGTTACGATTGCTGCGAACGCGACGACTGAGGTTCTGGGGAAGACGAAGGTTGCGGCTTTGAAGGAGGAGTTTGGGGACGAGAGGTTGCCGTTTAGTCCGGAGAATGATGTGCCGTTTGTGATTTGCGCGACGTTGGTGGTTGATGGCGCGGTTGTTGCGGAGGACTTTGCGTGGCCGCAGCCGTTGAAGTACCTGGAGTTTTCTGATAGAAAGGTCAAGGTTGTTGCGGAGGAGGAGAGGTTGGTTGTCTCGGCAGAGAAGCCTGTGAAGGGCTTCATCATTCAAGAGGAGAGGGGGATGAAGCTGAGCGACAACGGATTTGATGTTGTGCCAGGTGTCGAGAAGGTGATTAGTGTTCAAGGGATAGAGGCAAAGAAGCTGAGGTGGACATATCTCGGGGCGCCGGAGTCTTCGTTGGGGATTACTCAGTAAAGAGGCGCAGTAGATAGATGATTAGAGTAGACTTGATTTGTAGAAATTCACATGGCATTCTATTTCACTTCTGAAGGGGTGATGATTTTGGTTCCTTGGGGATTCCATTCTTGTCATTTCTCATTAATACGTAACATTACAATACTTGGACAATCTTGACTTCGCGAGGATGGAGATCAAATGATGTCTCCGCCAAATCCTCCGCCGAACCCTCCTCCAAATCCGCCTCCACCTCCAAAGGGGCCTCGTCCCCGTCCACCCTGTCTGGGCAGACCTCCGGGACCGATGGGATCCCACCTAGCTCCCGGCGGCGCTTGTGGGTCGAAGCCAGCCCCCTGACCACCTTGACCACCGAACAGAGGATCATCGAACGTCGGGTGCATGCCACCACCACCTCCTGGGCGAGGGAGACCTCCGCCGATGAAAGATGGTCTCAGGGGGTCATGTGGCCCAAGACCGGGCGGGTTCAAGTCATCATGGCCAATGTTGTAGGGTGATCGACCAGGAACACCCAAAGGTCGCAGAGGCGTGTTAATCTCGTGCTCATCTTCGAACCCGGGTGGCGGGAAGTCACCCGCCGGGATGGGCCGTCTGGGGGGCTCAGCCAAGGGATCGTGAATGGGGAACGGGTGGCCTGGCTGCGGCCTCTCTCCAGGGAATGGCCTTCCGGGTTCCCGACCAGATTGCGCGCGACCTTCACGCTGCACGTTCTCGGCTGCGTCGCGGTCGTCCGGCGACTCCTCATAACCCTCCACTTGCATCTTCGGGATGAGCTTCTGCACGATCTTCGTCTTGAACTGCTCGATGAAGTCGGCAATCGCTGCCTCAGAGACGAACGCATCTCTGAACTTCTGTACCAGGTCGCTTCTATCCTCGGAGCCGTCTTCGTTCAATGTGATGCGCAGGGGAAGCTTCGACGAGTTGACCACGTCCTTGGTCGTGACCTCGAATCTGTGTATGACGTCGTGGCCCTGAGCCATCCCGCTGATCTCGACTTTGCCGCCGACGCGGCTGATGCGGATGATGGATGTCATTGAAGACTGCTTGTGCGCGTACACGAAGCGGATGGCGCCAAAGCCAGCGTTCCATGAGGGTGGGAGTCGGGGCGCAAGGGACTGGATCTCCTCCTCTGTGACAGGGATTAGCTTTGAGCAGACAGGGACGGCGGCAGGAGGCATACCTATCCTCTTTTCCTCGTCGAAACCGAGGAGGCGGAACTTCAGAGCGGCCATGCAAGCATGGGCGAGGAGAGAGGGCAGCTCGTAGCTGCTGCTCAAGTCCGAGGTTGTGTCATTCTGGGGGTGCGTTGGCAGGGCGTCTGCCATCAACTGCAGCACCGACTGCGGTGTGAGGGGGTTCGTCATCGTGCGTGCTTGTGTGGTTGTGAGTCTCTGATTGTAGTTGTTGAAAGAAAAGATGCGTTGCGGTTCGAAAGGGGGATCGTTGAGGTTATGTACACCGTGGTTGAGGCTGAGCGTGTTTGGGCTTCAAGAGGCCTCTCGGTGTCGTTGGGTAGAAGATGGGACTTTGGTGTCGACCCTGCCGAGATGGGGAGCTTAGCTCTGGATGCGGGTGATGGCAGGTGGCGTCACAGACTGGTGCCTTCAGCCCTATATGTGGAGTAACCCCTCATTCTGCATCCTATCGGCATCTGCCTCGATTAGAGCATACATGTTGAAGAACTCTTTGAAGGCATAGCTACCTTATCACAGTGTGTACAATGCGGTGCGAATGAGAAGATTGGAAGAAAATCTCAGGGAAAATTCTTGTCGCTGTAACTCAGTACACATGTCATGAGAGCCCGGTTGTATGTCTTCCTCCGTCTGGCAGTTGGCTTGGATATGTAATTATGCATTAAACGAGGTGTTTAGACCTGCACGTGAAAAGGCGTTGGATTCGCATCACGTCCCCGTCGCGCTTCCCTGGTCTCGACGTCAGCAGGCAGCAAGCTTCGCGATCGCATCTCCTGTTCAGCCCCACCATATTCGAGACTATTGTTCTATCGTGGCTAAGACGACAAATTCGCCATTTGCATGAGATTTTCCATTTCTCAATCGACCTCCGTTCAGGCAACATGTCGTCCAGTTCTAGGCCTCCAGACTCAGCCACCGGGGCCCCGGTCCCCATTCCGCGCCCGCAGGCAAACACCCTACTCACTTCGTTCACCGCATTCCTCACCATCACCATCCACACAGTTCTCTACTACCGCCGGATCTACCCGCAGCAAACGTTTCTCATGACCAAGGCGCACAATTTACCCGTTCCGCAGTCCCGGCACCCAGCTCTTTGCGAGTGGATCAACTCAGCCCTGGCGGCTATCCAGGACCAACTTGCCCTCGGCGCCGTCGCCAAAGTCTGCATCGTGATTCATGCGCCAGACTCCATGGCCGTAGTTGAACGATGGGTGTTTGACGTCACAAACTTCCCTGTTTGGGCTACCGGCAAGGGCAAAGAGAAGCTGGGCGCAGCCCAGAAATTCCAGCGACGGGAAGAGGACGAAGATGATGGATCCGTCAACTGGGTGGACGTGAATGAGGCGTACAGAGGCGCTTTGAGACGCATTTCGTATGCGGGAGAGATGAAGGGCCCTTTGCCCGAGGGATGTACTTTCACACTGGCCGTCGAATTACGCGACGAAGCACCTGCGCCCATAGGTGTATGTTGCAGACTGTCCACATTTAGGAAACCCCGGCAGCTAACATTCTTCTAGCATCCTCAACCCTGGATTCCTTCTGAGCCGTCTCTTCAGCCAGCGTCCAAGACAAACCCAGTGCCGGGTGCCAGCATTGGTGGGGCTGCCACCACGCCAATTCGGTCCGTTGAAGCTGGGCCGCTCTTCTTCGAGTGCTGGATTGAGGAAGGCAAGAACAATTCCTCGGAGTCTCCGCCCGATACTCAAGACTCGTATTACTCCTAAAAGACGAGGTGCTGCTTTATTGCTCCCCGTTGAAAGGCAATATTTGCTGGGAAATATTGAAGCATCTTTGCAGGTCTGACGACTGTGGCGCAAGGCGCGTCCCTTGATGGACTGGAGCTGGCAAAGCTTCGTTGAAAAGGTCAAGGCTGCACTTCCAATGACAAAAGTCAGACAAGCCTAACGTTACTCGCTCCACGAGTACGTTCGTCGCCAAGTTTGCCGGAGGGCCTTCACGGCTCGACATGTAGGTCTTGCCCTACACCACCTATGCCCTTGAGAGCGATCCGAGCCTAGCTCTGACGTCGAAAATTAGAAAAGAAAAACATCAACAATAACTCGACACCGCAAACGGGCGAAATGCGCTGCCTGCCCATTTTCTTGTGTTCGCACCCGAACCCCCAGGAATCCCCGGAACCCCCGGAACTCCCGAAACCAATTTTCATCTACGGACCTCTCTGCTTTAAGCCTACCCTCGCAAATATTCTACGCCGCGACGCGGGAGGGGACTTGAAAGATGGCCAATTACGTCCCGCCAGGGTGCCCGGATACACTTGTCGCGTCATGTACGGCTTTGAGGGGTTCGCCGCAATCAAAAAAGAGAAACAGGCCATGGACGGCTTCATCTTTCAACCAGCAAACCCATCTCAACGACGCCGAATAGACGACGAGTTCCAGCGGGAAGAATTCCAGATGATCAAAGTGACGCCTGTTCTCCAAAAAGATAACCCGGACAATGCATCTCAGAATTTTGACGAGATCGACATGTACTTTTGGCATGGGTCGTTGTTTTTTGACAGGCCATGGAAGATAGACTCTTTGGTGGGGATGGCCTGGGACCTCACTAGACCGTGGAAGGGACACTCGGCATTCTTCCTCATGGTGCAACAGATGAATCGGGAAAGAGATGGGACTGAGACGGACGAGGGGCGTCATTTGCTTGATTTGGCATTCCCGAGCGAACGTCCTTTGCTTTTCTCCTTTTACAACTAACATTTCGTTTGTAGTTTCCTGGGCAGGTTGCCGCCTGGGCCCACAGCTTTTCGACTGACGGTATGTGAAGAGGGTGCGAGGCGCAGCGCCTTGCCGACCTCTCCCTCCAACTCCACTTCCACGAACTCCGTCCCCCCAAAAAAAGATATTGAAGTCAACCTCGCCATACTTCATCGAAAACATAAACAACCACTGTCTCAACGGCGATTATCCCGAACGAACGTTATGAAGCATCTCAAAGCTCATGCTCTCTCCAAGCAGATGGCAGCACGGGTGAGAAAGAGGCCCGATGCTCGGAAGTGCACATGATGGAGACGGACAATCTTGAGACATAGCACGCCTGACGGTTGTACCTGTCAACCAAAGCCTCGGCTTCTTGGTTGCCAGAGGACCAAAACTTGAGAACTGATTTGCGCCCCGGACTTGTCAAAGCGGAGCGGTGCGGGGCGATTATTCAACTTCACGTAGACCTTTCTTTTGGTGGACTGAATTGATTAGTATTCAAAACGCAATGCAGGCCGATCCCACATCAGCCGTGTGACCGTGGAGTGGGATTCCACTTGAACACGATCACGATTAGTGATCACGTTTTCACATCGCAGCTTTGGCCCCCTCCACACACTTAGTCTTGCTCAGGCAGAATAGTCCATTGGCGTCGACACTGTGATGAACTATAAGTACACGAGCACTTCCGACCAGAAAGTGAGAAGAACCATTGGTTATCAAACAACCAAGAAGCCAGTGTAATCACATTTTGCAAGCTCTCAAAATGCCTCTCTGGGTCTTTTCACACAGCAAAGACGCCTTCTCTCCCGACGAGAAGGAGGCGTTGGCTCAAGAGATCACCAAAATATACACCAGAATCGGCCTCCCCGCATTCTACGTCAACGTGCAATTCTTCGAAATGCCTGCGCACGACCTGTACCTGGGAGGTGCGCGACGCTCCAAATTCACCACAATCTCAATCTACCACGTCGCGAGGCGCTTTGAAAATGAGATCAACCAACAGCGTTTCCTCAAGAAAGTGGACTCGATTTTGAACCCGAGACTTGGTGGAAAGGGCGTTGATTTTGAGTACTTTATACAGGAATCGCCCAGAGAGCTGTGGAAAATCAACGGGATTGTGCCGCCGCCTTCGGGCTCTGAGATGGAGAAGCTCTGGTTCAGGGAGAACAAGCCCGTTGTTGAGGGGGATGTGAAAGCAAACCTATAAGTCCATGTGTTTCATTTTTGACATGTCTTTAAGAGGACTCGAACCTTGGCGAGAGTTAACTTGATGCTGATTGACGTCGTATATAAATTATGGTGTTTTCGAATGTCTGTTGTGTGCTTCCAACTTTTTTTGATAGACGAATTGGAATAGATGCATTGTTTGAGAGATGATACTATGAAAGAAAGATCGTAACTAAACTTGTGTACACTTGTCGTAGCCATGTCTGTGACGTCGAAACCTCCCCCCCAATTTACTCCATACGGCGGGCTTTTGGCTGATCCACGGCCTCACAAAACGAACGGTGGCCACCGCCGCAACAACAAACAGGGAGCCAAGCAACATCTCCACAGGAGACGGCCACCTCGGCCAGGTACGCATGTTAGCCAGAGTGATACCGGGACCACATTCTCCCGTGAACATAGTAGACTCATCCAAGGAGCACTCCTCGTTAACAACAAGAGAGTCTCCCGGCTCCGGAAACTTAACGCAACTGCCCTTGTTTTGCGTCAAGCAGCCGTTTCCGTTGTTTGCCTCGAAGATGAGAGGTGCTTGGTCAAACTTGGCTGCTAAATCCTCCTCCGGCACGTCTGCATCCTGATCGTGCCCGAGAACGACGATGGGCGCACAGTTCATGAACATCTCCGGGACGCTCCATCTGCCGTACCAGGTCCATGCCATCACGGCAGGCCCGACTGGTAGCCAGGTTGGAACCGTGAAGTTGTAGACGCTGGGAAGAACAACTGTGGGAGAGTCTCCGTAGTTGACGTCCGTCAGGTTGCGGATAGGGCAACCGCCGTGGATAGAGTGAATAACCTTCCATTCGCTTTTCCTCGTTGGCTTGAGGTCCCTTGTGACGGAAATTTGGCACGATCCACCTCCGTGCGACGCACCACCCATGGCCCTGATTTGTTGATTCACTGGTCAGTCAAATATTCTCAATTTGTCGAGGGCTTTTTCCATTGACGTACTGTAAATATTCAGTTGACCCTCGCTTCCAGATGTTGGAAACGCCGAAGCCATCATAATCGACCTCGCCTTTGCATGGCCAGTCAGATCCATCCTTAGCAACAGGGCCATTGTCTCGTAGCTGGCTCGGAAACGGGACAGGATGTTGCATGAGGGTGTGCCCCTCTGCTCCTGCCGAGAGCAGGGCGAGCCCGGTGATCACACTGGAAAGGGCTGGGTGCATTTTGGATTCACTGAAGTTGGGAGAAAGAAACTGACTGAAAACCACTCTGCCCCCTCGGAACTATTCTGTCGGCTTGCGAGACCCTCGTTCTTAATAGGCCCGGTCGGAAAACGTGAACAAAGAGGAGGCGGGCAGCATATCGCGTATCTGACAGGGTTCCCCAGTTTAGAGTTAACGTGTGCAGGTTACATTCGGGCCTGCCCGCATTTGAATATCGAGGTCCCCTAAATTTCAAGAGAAAACAACGCAAGACCCTAGCCAGACCGGTCGCCAGTTTAGGAAAGAAGAACAGCGGTGAAGAGTGTCGCGATTCATGTCGTTCCATCCGCTCTGGGGGTGTAAGTCGCCAGCGCATGATGTGGCCTTTCGTTTGGGTATTACCCGAGGCACATCACAAGAATATCAATTCCAGATGCATACACGAATGGCTGGGTCTGGAACTCTAACAGCCTTCTGCTGTGCGCTGCGTGATAGGAGAGGCAAGGGAACGAGGAGCCAATGGAGATAAAGACCATGTTATTGTACTTGTGATGATCACGAAGCCAGCGACTTCTCTACCAGAAACCCAAGACCACGATGTCAGGCCACAGCTTTCGGACGGCCGTCGGCCGTCTTGTGGCTCTCGGGACAGTCCTCACCTTCTTGACTTTCCAGTACATTGCTAGTCAAACAAGAATTTCATTCGGCTTTTACGAAGCCTTCTTTCAATTCAGCTCCTGCATCATCGTGTTCAACTTCCTTCTCATCATCACCCGGTGGACTGAGTATGAGCCGATACCGGGCATCAAAGATAACCACCGTCTTCCTACAATCAATGTCATCATTCCGGCATACAACGAGTCTGAATTCGTCAGAAACTCGATCTCCTCTGTTGTTTCTTCGGACTACCCGAAGGAAAAGATTCACATCATCGTTGTCGATGACGGCTCATCAGACGATACTTGGTCCCACATCCAACACGCCGCGCAAGAGGCTCTTGGTTCGGAGCCACTGATGAGATGCACCACCATACAGCATGAGATCAACCGTGGGAAGCGGCAGGCCATGGCTACGGCCTTCGCAACTGCGATCAACGAAGTCATCGTGACTCTCGACTCTGACACCATCCTCGAGAAGCAAGCCCTTCGAAATCTGGTCAGCCCCCTTGTTCTCGACAGTGATATTGGAGGAGTCGCAGGCCATCTCTCCGTCTTCAACGTCCACTCTGAAGGCTGGAAGAGCTTCATTCCGCGGACGCTGGACTGTCTTTTTGAGCAGAACGGCAACATCCCGCGGGCGGCACAGTCAAAATACGGCTTCGTCACCATTTTACCAGGTGCCATTTCTGCTGTTCGAAGAGAAGCTTCTCAGCCGCATGCTCAAGATCTGGTGGATGCTAAGTTCCTCGGCAAGCCTTTGCGACACGGCGAGGATGTACAGCTCACAATGAACCTTTTGAACGACGGCTGGCGACTCGGATATCAGAGCAATGCGGTTGTCTACACAGTCGCGCCCGAGACCTTGCGCAAGGCATTCCTGATGTACGTACGATGGGAAAGAAGTAACTACACCTACTGGATCCTTGGCCTGGTCAAACTCGCCTTCACCGACGCCAAGAGGCTCGTTCTGAATCGACTGGGCCTCCTTTCTCTGAGTCAGTCCGGCGTATCGCTCGACTTGGAGAAGCAACACGGCAAGCGGGTGGCAAATGCACGACAACCGGACTTTGCGCCGATGCTGACGATCATCTGCGCAACTTGCGCGACCCTGTCTTGCGTGGAAGCGGCATTTTCTTGGGTGTGGGGAGCCTTCCGCTCTCCGTGGGTCACGACCATGAATGTCTGTTGTCTCGTCGTCTTTGCGACTTGGTCCAGTCCTCTCTTATTGGCCGATGCACTCAGCAGAAACGAGGATGACTCGATGCCTCAGAGTGGACTTCAACAACCGAGATCGGATCAATCAGAGAGCTCATATCCGCGGTTGAGGAAGAAGATGCAGTACTTTTACTTTTCTACGGTTGCCAACTTCTTCTTTGTGAGCTGGGCATCGGTATTTGGGCTTTTCACTCTAAAAAGCCAAAGTTGGTTGACAAGATGATATCTATGTAGAGAAGAGCACACAGACTGGGAGAAGTGGGAGAGTCTGGTTCATCCCATATGATTGAGATTTCGATATAAGTCTGCAGTAAACTAAAAACCAGCTGATTCTGTCTTTGTTTCAGAACTCATCCTCGGTAGTGAAAATGAGTGTAGTAGATTTATCCCGCCCCCCGTTGCCGAAGCCATCCTTGTTAGGGTTGCGGCGGTTACAGCTGCTACTATCGCCATCCTCGTCAGCCCCTCCCGCGTTTTTTTATCTCTGAGCCGATCACGCCAGCAAGATTCGCCACAGAAAGTTTCCGTATTCTGCAATGAACCCTGCCGCAACTGATTCGTGTCCCTTGCCACCGCTGTAAGAAGCATGTTGCTGCCGTGTGAATGGCTGGGTTAACGCGCACGCCTGTGCTAAATAAAGGAGCACTTGCATTTATCACATCTCTGTTATCGCGATAATCATGAACACATGATTTGTAAATCTGTTGTAAACCCTCCATGGATTCTCGTTTTCGTTACAGCCAAGCAATTATCGGTGAGGAGCCCAGCTGAACATGGCAAGTTCTGGACTTCAATAAGACCAGGTCCAGCCACCGAAGTGAGGGGGTTACATCGACACCCCGGGACGGGATCCAGTAAGCTTGATTGATTTGAGCCAATGAGACTCTTGACAAACAACGTGATAGACGCGCTATCTATTAAACTTCCGGACGAACTGCCAAGCACGAATCTTGTTTTAAGCGATGGGATGCCGAATTGGTCGTACTCGCGCGGAGACCATGGTGCCGCACCGCAGTAATAGCGTTTAAAACTAGAGTTTACACGTGTACGTTGGGTCTATCCCATCCTTCAGTACATTAAGTGTACCATCCTTGTCTGCAAACCTTTCGGATCCGAACTGGAAGCCATTGTGTGCTCCGCCGTCAAAGAAACTGCAATGTCTCCTACAACGAAGCGAGATACACAACGCCTATTCGTGTCAAAACACGGACAGGTCATTCGCAAATGCAGAGTGAGTTGACCGGTCGTTCCAGGCGTGAATCGTAGCTGACCTCTTACTAGATACCAGGAACTGTTGCTTTCACATTCGATAATGGGCCGTCTTTCTACACAGACTACATCTTGCATGAGTTCGCCCAGTTCAATGCAACCGCGACGTTATTTCTCGATACCTCGTCATGGCTCACAGAAGAAAGCCACTCCGGCTATTGGGAGTCATTAGTGAGAAGAATGGTTGAGAACGGGCATCTCATAGGACTTGCAACCGAGTCATGTGATAATGGCTCTCCGAATTACGACGAGACCAAACATGCCCTGGCCGAAGCCCGCGAGAGGATAGGCAGAATCTTCGTCTCATCAACTTCCTCCAGCGGCCTTCATCCTATGTACGTAAGGGCGCCTCCGGACTGTACTATGCAAAACGGCTGCGTGGAAAAGTTGACTCTCGACGGCCAAAGACTTGTGTTCCCTGGCATCAACTTGGAAGATCTACACAACGACCCTGGGCGGAATCTAAACTCTACATGTCTTCTCAATGACTTGGAGTCTGCGTATCCAGAAAAAGACTCTTTCCTGATTCAGATGCACGATACTGAGCAGACTGCTCTCAACGTGGGTGGCCTGGTGCACAGCTTTGTCAAAAAGGGCTTCAAGCCAACTACAGTTGGGGACTGCGTAGGTGATCATGACCACTTCATGTACCTGCAGCCATCCCAAGGCAACCAGCCACTTGCAAATCTTGGAGTCAAAATAGGAAATTCTTGGAACGGGTCATTTTCACAGTTGCGTTGGGTTGGATTTCCTCTCATACCTCTTCTCGAATTCATGGCTCTTGCCGCCTTGTTCTGGACAGCTCGGCGGTACAGGAAAATCAGGTCGCATATGCATATTGTACGATAATGAGTTGAGATGCGTCACATGATTCAAATGGTACCTGATTGAAAGGCAGGTAACATGAGAATTTATTAAGCAGTTCAGTAATTTCTTTGATACGACAATGGTTACTATGGTCACGCTGCGAGTTTGGTCGAGACTGGACACCAGTGGTAAAGCTTGTTTCGAGGACCAAGTTTTGTAACAAGTGAGGAAAGAATAAAGATCATGCAGCAATGGAAACTCTTCGCAATCCTTTCGGGGGCTTCCCTTCAACTTGGTGTGAAATGAAACCTGAACCGAAGCAGCTTCAGAAGGCTGCCTGACTTTCGAACTTGCACTCAGCAACACAATATAGATCCATGCATAGCGAATATGTCATCTTTTACCATTGATATGTAGTAAAAATGACCAGACACTATAGCTTTCATTATCAAAGACGTCTGATGCTTCTGCTGTTCACTCATATCGAAACGACGAATGCTTGAGTTTGCCACATGTTTACCTCAAACCTACCACGCGAATGACCCCTTGATTCAACCATCGCCATGAAAATCTTTTACCTGTTCATAAGTGGATCGCAACTTCACGGGCATTTGCTATTGTACCTGGCGACAAGCTAAGCTGCTTTGCTATCGATATAGCTTGTTGTCATTGCCGGATGAACCTCTCCACGGATGATGTTCGCAAGCACAACTTTTAGAGACGAGGCACTGACAGTAACCAACCAGAGTCAACTTTTAGGTCGTCGATAAGCTTTGTGGAGTAACGAAGGAGCTCGAACAGCAAGTCAACGAAGCTATAGCTTATAGACGCCAAACAACAGACTGTTCCAAAGATCAGCTAATTGATCATGACTCTGCACCGTGCCAGTGAGGTAACGAATGAACGAATTTGAGAATTCTGTTTCGTGTCAATGCAAACGTATGGACGAGCTCTGAAATGGACGTCGGCGGCCAGCCTCTTTAAGAAAGGAAAGCCGTCGGACCAGACCCGACAAACACAGAGTCATGGAGTTGCGCAATATTTCAGCTGCTGGCGCGTAGTGTGGGGGCTGCTGGTTCATGTCGGGTGGATTGCGTCTTCTCCCCAGCCAATGTCGCAACGTCCATCGCCTAAAACCGCGGCAGCCAGCCTGCGATGTCTAGCCCAGTTCAGCAACCAACGGCGGACAGTTCCCGACGAACGGAAGCACGGCACGGGAGGTTCCATGGTTATTGCATAGGAGCCACCACAGCCGTGAGCCGGCGGGCGAAGGAACGGTTCCACCTCCGCGGAACTTATCGCCAAGCACGTCTTCGTCTTGCATTTTGATATCATCTTGTAGGATTTTCGGGCGACGTCCGCCGCTAGGGGAACAGCTCGAAGACGGTGGCGAGGGATGTTTGTATATGATAACAATCATGGCCTGTTCCTTCACCTGTGCCACGTGGAACAGTGCATGTTTTGTATTTCGTCAAATATCCTAATCCACCGACAGTAAAGATGGGCATTCCAGACAGTTCGGGCATCCAAGTCATGGCCAACGATGCTGGCGCCCAGGATGCGACAGCCTCCAGCCAATCTCCAGGGTCTGACGGCAATATCACGCCGGTAGAAAGCGAGCCAAAAGACTACATCGACCCCAAGGAGGAACGGGCATTCCTTTGTAAGAAGGATTCTTTGTGCACATCGGGCACGCAGGAATTGACTGACATCAATAGGGCGCCTTGACCTGTTCTTCCTCACCATAGGATTCCTGGGCTACATGTTCAAGTACATCGACCAAACCAACATTGTGAGTATGAAACTGATGTATCATGATGCGAGAGAGCTAACCCACAACTTAGAGCAATGCATACGTGTCTGGAATGAAGGAGGATCTCAGCCTGTTCGGCAATGAGTTGAATTACTTCACCACATTCTTCAAGTGAGTTTGCCTCGTCTCTTGACCGGAGGCACTCTGTTGAAGCCAGAGAACTGACCATTTCGGCAAGCATCGGATACATGATCATGCTTTACCCTTCATGCATCATCATCTCGCACTTTGGCCCATCAAAGTGGCTTCCAGCATGCGAGGTGCGTATCATCGCTCTTGACTAAATATTAAAACTGACAAAGCCAGCTCATCTGGGGCGTACTTACATGCTGCTTGTCAGTCGTCACGAGCTCCAAACAGGTAAGAATCGTCTTGCGCTACCCAAATAATCCGACTACTGACCGACGTCAGGTTTACGGCCTCCGCTTCCTCATCGGCCTGTTTGAAGGCACCGCCTGGCCAGGATACTTCACACTCATCAGCCAGTGGTACATGCCCCACGAAGTAGCTCTGCGCATGAGTCTCTACAACATCGCCCAGCCCGCGGGCGCCATGCTGTCCGGCGCAATGCAGGGAGCGCTATCTACGAACTTTGAGGGCGTTGCCGGGAGGTCAGGCTGGCGGTGGGCCTTCATCATCAACGTGAGAGATATATGGTGCTACTTGTTGCTGGTTTATGAAGCTGATCAAAATAAAAGGGTGCTTGCACCATCGTCGTGGCGCTCGCAGCCTTCTTCATTCTCCCCGGCTACGTTGGTCTCACCGACGCGATCTTCTCACCACCATGGCTAACTCGATCACAGCCCGAACGCCCCAATCCGCTTTCAAAATTCTATATGACGGACCGTCATATCGAGATAGCAGTCGCGCGCGGCCGCCGGGTTGGACGTAAGCCGCAAATTGGCATCACGGTCAAGTCTTTCCTCCGATGCTTCACATTCTGGCAGCTGTGGGCTATTGCAAGTACGTATTGATATCCCCGACTCATGGTATTTTCCGTGAATGAGCTTCTGTTCTTGGGTACCTTTCTAACGTGTACCTTAGTTGCGTGGCCTGTTGGGGGCAACTTCACGCCCGCCAGCTACTTCAACCTGTGGCTGAAGTCTTTGAAGAACTCGGACGGAACTGTCAAATAGTATGTTCGGAATCGTCTCATTCACCCTTGAAGTCCAGGCTGACAAGATACGTAGCTCTGTGGCTATGCTCAACTACCTGCCGATAGCGGGCCAAGGTCTACAGCTCATTTCGGAGCTCCTGTTCAGCGGCTTCAGCGGTTACTTTGGCGTTCACCTGCCATTCCTGCTACTTCATTCCGTAACACGTCCCTTCCTGATATGAGGAGATGACTTGAAAGCTGACAGAACGCAGGCTATCAACATTGCCTCTCAGGTAATTCTCATCGTCCGGCCAAAGAATGAAGGGGCTTACATGGCCGGCTGGTACATGAACTACATCGGAGCGTACGTCAAGACCACCCCTATTTCCAACCCTTTCCATAACCTGAAATCGTGCACAGTGTTTCCACAATGCTCCTCTGCTCCTGGGGCTCAGCGCACCTCCAGCACGAGCCTGAGGTCCGCACTGTCCTGTTCGCCAGCGGCACCGTCCTTGCTTATATCATGAGCGCCTTCATCCCCATTGCCGCGTTCCCGGCTTCGGAGGCTCCCAACTGGCGCATCGGATCAAAGCTGTATCTCGCGTTTGCGCTTGTGGCTGTGGTGATCTTCATCGGAATCCATTTCGGGTTCAAGTGGGAGGAGAAGAAGCAGCAGAAAGAGGTCGTGAAGGAGGAGCTGGCTGGCGAGCCGGACGACGCGAACGCAGGGGTCAAGACCGTAAGTCTGGAGACAGAGAAGTAGGGCTTCTTTGTCTTTGCATGGTTGTTTAGATAGAGAGACGGTCAATTGGTTATTTTCAGTTCTAGCAAGGCGAAAGAATCTCTGTTTAAGGAGACTTCAAACGCTTTGTACATTATACTAAGCAAACTGGATCATTTCTACAAGCCCTTTGTGTCTTTTAAGATCTGTTTCATGTAGCAACAATCCAGTCTAAGTCTCGCTCTCGCCACCAACAACCAACGACCCCCATCTCTGCGCCGCCATACAACCGCCATCAATGAGAATATCAACACCATTGATATACCCACAACCCACCACAAACGCAACCGCCTCCGCCATCTCCTCCGCCGTCCCCGCCCTCGGCACCGGCAACCTCTCAATCATCGCTCGAATCCCCTCCCCACTCCCGCTCGCCATCTCCTCCCTCAACATCTTCGTCTCCGTACACCCGGGGCTCACACAATTCACCCTTACCCCCCTCCCCGCGTACTCCTTACTCGCCGCCGCCGCCGCCACCCTTAACACGTTCGCCTTCTTCGCGATGCAATACGCAGCCCCCTCGTGCGCCCGTCCCATCTCCCACATCTCGTCATTCTTCAACAGCTCCCCCAGCGGCGCAAGGGCGAGATGCCGCTCCAGCGCGTCGGACATCGGCGGGCCCATGTACTGCGCCATACTCCCCACGCAGACCAAACTGCTCCCGCGCGGCATCTCGACCTCCGCGCCAAACGCGGCGATCACGTTCGCCGTGCCGAGCACGTCGACCTCGTAGATCTTGGCGGCGTCGCCCATGGAGGGCGAGATGGCGGAGGTCAGCACGACGGCGGCGATGGCGCCGCCGAGGGACGCTGCGGCCTTGGCGACCGCGCGCACGGAGGCGTAGGAGGTCACGTCGACCTGCTGCGTGGTGAACTTGTGGCCGGCCTGTTTGAGGGCCTCGGAGGCGCTGGCGAGGGTGGAGGCGGAGCGCGAGGCGAGGAGGATGTGGTGGCCTGGGCCGAGGCGGAGGCCTGTTGCGAGGCCGATGCCGCCGCCGCCGATTACCACGAGGACCGGGAGGGTGTCGAGGGCCATTGTGTTTGGTCTAGTCAACTTGTGGTCCTTATGATGATGGAGGCTACAGACAAGGCAACTTGACTTGGAGAGTCTCGTAAGTCGCTAGTGGGATCGTAGCTTATTTATCCAGTCCCAATCTCGGTTTCGCATACACGACAGGGACTCGCAATCTATCTTAACTTTGCGCAAAAGAGATGAGACGAGTTTAATCCACCCCGCGCAGTACGACCTCTCAATCTGGCAGATCCCATCTCTACTGCGTACGCACCAATCATAGACACAGATGCGACGTCCAAAGTTGGCCCTGGCCCGAACTCTGATGGTCTACGTCTCCAGATGATTTGCTTCATCGGCAAAAAGCGCCCGCCGAACCCCGTCCGTGTACCTGCCTTACGCGCAGGGAGGGAGGGGGAGCCATAGCTTCGGTGCCTGATCACAAGCCAGAAAACGAGCAGCTCGCTGTTTTCGGGCTCCAAGCTTCTTTTTGTGTGCCGACGCGGGTGCTGGTTTGCGGTTTCGCCGGCGGCGGTTCCATGCCGAAGGCAACCAAGGGATGAGGAGAAGCTTTCCGTTCGGGTTCGTGATGGGGTTGAGGTGCGAACCCGAGGCAACCGAACACGCGGTTCGTCTGGGGTGAGGGAGCTCGATGAGGTGTTCGTTCTCTTGTTCGCAAATGCCCCGATGAATGCGGTATTTTGTTGGGCTGGGTGTCTGCGGCTCATCCTTGGCGTCGTCGAGATTAAGTTTTGGTCTGTTCCGTGTGTACGGACTGGCCCGGCTGGGCAGAGGGGAATTCGTGCTGCGCCTCAGGGGCGTGAGGAGGCGGCGCGAACTTGTCGTGGATTCGACGCGTCTGTCATGGGAAGGCTTCAATTTTATTTGACGCATAAAACGTGACCGCAACGACAGAGGTGCGACGGACAGTATGGGCGACAACGGCTGGATGGCGAGACGGGTAAGAGAAGGCATGTCACACGTCACAAGGCACTTACACGAACAAAACAATTGTAGAACTTTTAGTCTGATTCCGTATCTCTCGTGTCTATCTTAGAGTTTGTCTAGCTACCTGATTGTTGCCAAAACTCCAAAAGACCTCCGAGGAGAGTGCTTCCATGATTCATGATTCATCCATTCCATACCACCAAATTTGACTGTGTTCCCAAAGGAAGGCATGCGTAGACATCCAAGGCGAGACGTCTAGCTGCCGTCACCGCAGCGGTCGACAGTGGTGCCGCCAATGTCCATGAGGACGTCGCCGACGCAGCCGCCGTCCATGGTCTTGGGCATGCGGGCGCGGAGAGACCAGTAGGCGCCGCGGAGCTCGTTGTCGTCATCGGGGTGGCCGAAGTCGATCCAGCCGAAGGCGACCTCCTTGATATCGCCCTTGGCGCAGGCGGTGATCTTCTCGATGAGGCCCTTGCCGTCCTCGCCGCCGATCTGGTTGTCGGAGAAGCCGGTGCCGAGCAGGTAGAGCGTCTTGTACTTGTCCGTCTGGCCGGTCGCGGGGTCGAACCAGGGGATGTTCTTCTCGAAGCGGCAGAAGTTCTTTATCCAGGAGTCGTGCAGGGCGCGGACGGTCAGGCTGCGCAGGGCGACGCCGGACTTGGCGTAGATCGGGTCTTGCTGCTCCATGGGGAGGGGGGAGCGGTCGTTGCAGTCAGTGTAGACGAAGAGGACGGTGCCGTCGGGGACCATCTTCTTGGAGGGGGTCTCGATGTACCAGGGCATGCTGGTGCAGTAGTTGCCATCGGTGACAGCCTCGGGATCCTCCTCGGTGCCAGGGCCCTCGGAAACGTCGCAGTAGCCGACCTCGAGGTAGCCGTCATCAGTCATAACCCACTTGGTCTTGAGGCCAGGCTTGGACTCAGACAAGACACCACTGTACAGAGATGTTAGCACACCGCTGGGAGAAATCTCCAATGAGATATTTGAACGCTTACCAGACGGTCTTCTTGATGGGAACCCAGGTGAAGTAGCCACACTTCTTCTCCTCGTTCAGCTCGATGTCAAACTTACGACCGGTGGACGTGGACTGGCTCTGGTGGTAGCCGCCGGAGACGCCGAACTTGAGCGCCTTGATCCAGGCCAGCTTGGGCTTGAGACTGACGCCCCAGCTGTAGGAGGTGGAGTCGCTCTCAGTGATGCCGCAGGCGATGGGGTAGTGGCAGTCAGAGTGAGGGAAAGGTCTCTCCTCAGCCCACTCGAAGGTGGTTTCGGCCTGGCAGAAGCTGGCACACTCGAGATGGTCGTTGAACTCATTCCACTTCTCGCAAGTGCCAGAGGAGCTGGTGGCGATGCGCTTGCCGTCAGTGTGAAGCTTGGCGGGGCAGTCGATCTCGTAGTACGTGTAGTAGAGCTTGTGCGACTGATTGTCCTCGCAGACGGGGGTCAGGTCACCCTCATGGTTAGGGCGCTTAGGAAGAGCAAGGGCTGAAGGACCACCGGCAAGGAAGGCAGCGCGATCTTCGGGACGAATAGCCCACATGGGAGGGTTGTTCCAGTCAACCTTGTCGACACTCTTGTTGTTGGCAGGCTCGATGTGGTGAGTGAGGTTGAGGTCAACACCAACGAACTCGGCAGGAACCTTGCGGTTGCCAGCCATGACCTGGCCGGCGATGAAATCATTGAGGTCGAGCTCACCGTTGGTGAAGTCATTAACAGACATGACACCACCCCGCTGAGTGTTGCCGGTGTTCGTACCAGCACCAGCGACAGCACCACAGAGAGCGATGGTACCGAGAAGAAGGGTCTTCAGGGTACTAGGACCTCCATGGCCCTTGGGTAAGATGTTGAAGGCCTCCATTGTTGGTAAGGTGATGAGGTGAACAGAGGGGATCGCAAGACGCGCAGAAGTTTGAGTGAAGGATGGGAGTGAAGGAAGGGATTCAGGTTTGAGGTGCCTGGATCCTGGAAGAGTTGTTTGTTGAAGTGAATTGTGAAAGGTGTTGAAGTGAAAGGGTTTTTGTTTTGTGGGAGAGGGAGAGAGAAAGTTCTTGTGTGGGAGAGGGAGAGAGAGAACGGTTTTGTGGGTGGTGGTGGGAGAGGAAAAGGTAAGGTGAGAGGCTGGCGCGGTCTTGATCAACTTTGAAAGGCAAGAGCGACGACCCTTAAGCGAGAAAAGTCTTCAATATCGGCTCCTTCCAGAGTTGAGGTGAAGTCTGGTCTGGTGAATGTGAAGGTGGTAGTTAAGCGAGGTCTGGTCCGGTCAACAAAGGCAAGGCGGTCTATCAGAGATTTTCTTGTTGTTGTGGGATGGACTTGTGGGAGGAAGGTGCGTGAGAGACGACTACTTCCCCTTCAAGACTTGCGGATGGAGAGAGAGAGGAAAAAGAGAGAGACCGGGGCGGTGGTAAGAGAAAAGGGATCAGGGAAGATGGACGACAAGAACAGTCTCCTTCTAACGATGAATTCAAAAAGATGCTTCCCTGGATGAGATCCCATCAGTGACAGCATGAGACATCGCCGTCATCACAGCCAGCAACTTCTCAAGTCGGGTCAACTGATATTCACTGTCAACTTCTGATTGAGTAGTTTGACCCTTCTCCAGGCGGCCAGTTGTAACTTTGATGCATTAATTTGACCGAAAACCAAAGCTCCCTGCCTAGATGTGCCCAAATACTGACAGAGTTCACTCACGATGAAAGGAGGTTGATATGCCTTGTGTCACGTACTTGTATTTGTGTTATATATAATTGCAGGTGTCCAACTGCGGCCCAGTTGCAGGCCATGGGCCCGTTCTCCCCCATCTAATGTACACCTGCAACATCTCATCTACCTGATGAGGGCATGACCTCCCATAATGCTGATATGTACCTACTGATCCATTATTCTTACAGTCGTGATAAACGCCGGGCCAGACAACTAAAAGCCTGCCCCACTATAGCGTCGCTGGTATCGAATCGATTCAAAATCATGCTACTCATGTGCTTATAAGAACCTGTTACCACCGGGCTGGGGCCGGTGTG